AGGTGCCAATTCTTGAGTGTTCGGTTTTGATGTAAATCGATTGATCAATTTTACAATATGGCAACTAAAACAAATGAAAGGACCCTGGTACATTGAGCTGAATGTCACATGCTTGGAAGCACTCGGTAGGACACCGACCCTCTGTTTTCCAAAGATTGTTATACGAGCTGAATAATTATTTGTCGCTTGGGTTCCTAGTGGAAAATAGGACTTCAGTAGCACATCCCGTTTCACTCTGTTCTACACAGCATTTGAACCCGGCCCCACCACTCCACCACTCCCCAAAAACCATTTCTTCCTCACACCATCTCCTCCATGTCACCCTCAGCTGCGACACTCAACTCGTCGTTCCACATTTCGCTTCGTTCAACTCGACGGCCTGACCTCGTGCGTGATATCCCCAAATGGTCTTCTCAGTGTATGCTCAATCCAATCCAATCCAATCCAATCCAATCCATCTACACTTTCTTCTACATATTTGTTGGACGATAGGTTCTTACTCGACTTGTTGACAGCCAGTCAGAGTTCCTCCTTGCTTATTCTCATCATGCTGGCCATCCATCTCATCTTCAGTGTCAGTATCGAATGAGCGTAGGCACCAGCTGTTCATGTATGTCTGCAGTTTGTTGCAAGTGCTTTTCGTAACGCGTCAAGTCTCTCAACCATCACATAGAAGCACTGACGACTCACTTGACTGACATTGGTGTTGGAGATCGGGGTCTTGTTCACGCTTTATACTGAGTGGGGTGGAGTGGAGTGGAGTGGAGTGGAGTAGATCTCCACACTGATTTCAGGTTAATGCAGGAAGGCTTGTCTTGCTGTATTTCTGATCCTGACTGGCTTTGTCATCCTCGTCTGTGCCGCCACCGCCACTGTCACCACCACCACCACCACAGCCACCACCGTAGTTGAAACAATGCTACCTAGGTGGATAGGTGAAAGAGACAACTTCCCTCACATCTCTCACGTTCATGATGACTGGTGCCTGTTGTTGTTGTGGTTGGGTATCCTCATCACCTCTGTCTTCTCTACATTCACCTGAAGGAAGTCTCGTCTTCGCTGCCTCACCTCTTCTGCCAACCTGTTAGTTTTCGCCT